TATTTTGGTCATGTTGTAAGAAGGGACCATTCCCTGGAGAAGGATGTCATGCTTGGTAGGGTGGAGGGTCAAAGAAAGAGGGGGAGGCCTTCAACGAGATGGATTGACATGGTGGCTGCGATGATGGGCTCAGGTATAGTAGGGATTGTGTGGCTGGCATGGGATCAGGCAGTGTTTCGTTCTGCTGTGCATGGGGTCGCTATGAGTCGGAAATGACTCGATGGCACTTAACAACAACAACAACCCCAATTTCACTGCAGCACTACTCACAATGGCCAAAAGGTGGAAACAACCTAAATGCCCACACATAAATACAAGAGAATATTACTCAGCCAGTAGGAGAAATGAAATCATGATACAGTATGAATGAAGTTTGAAGACATTATGCTTAGCAAAATAAACCACTCACAAAAGGATAAATATTTTATGATCTTCTATATAAAAAGACAAGAGAAGGCAAACGTACAGAGAACAAAGTTTATTAGCAGTTATGGGGCAGAAAGGATGGGTAAAGGATGGTTAACAGTGATGGAAAACTCACATTGATTAAGGGTAGGGTTTCACAGCCAACTATTATAATTACTGTCAATAGGCTGTACACCTATAAAAAGTTGAATTGGCAAAAGTTGTGTGATTGATAGATATATTTACAACAATGACAAAAAAGTATACCGTAGTCACTGAGGCTTCTTATGTACAACCAAACACCTTATGGATCTGGTTCTTTGGTTTGGAGGTTTAAGAACATGGTTTCATGGGACAGTCCAGTTAATTGGACTAGTGACATGTTTAGTGCTTCTGTTCTACCTCCTAGTTCGTTGCATAGTGCCTGGGGTCTTAAAAGCTTGCATGCAGCCATCCAAGGCACAGCAATTGGTCTCTATTCACCTGAAACAACAAAGGAAGAAAAGTCAGCAACAGAAGGAGGATATGGATCTTGTGGTTTATTGCCTCCATGAACAACTGCTTCCTTTGGCATGAGAGAAGAAGAACTGGATGGTGCCCAGCTACCATTACTGAACACTTTGATCAAAGATTCCATAGAAGAATCCTAATCAAAATGGAGAAAATACAGAAATGAATTTCAAATTATCATGGACTCCAGACTTTCTGGAGCCATGGTGGGTGAACAAACCCCTGAAACTATTTCCCTGAGATCATCTTTAAACCTTAAACCAAAAATGTACCCTGAACTTATCTTAAAACTAAACAGTAGTTCAGCTTAACTAGTAAAAAATGTATGCCTTGAATATTATGAACTTTTAAGATCTATATGGGATCAATCTGACAACAGTAATCAAAAGATTAGACAGAAAACTTAGGGGGCAGTGAGTTTATGTTAAACATGGGAGAAACAACTCAAAAAAGGAGGGTAAGAATGGTTACACAACTCAAAGAATGTAATCAATGTCACTAAATTATACATGCTCACCTGGTAAATGTTCTGCTGTGTATATTCTCAACAACCCCAACAAAAGAAAATTTATGAAAAAAAGAAGAACTGCCAGAATATGAATATTATTTAGAAATCCACATGTAAATACCAGAAACAGCCAAAAGAGTTGAGAGTCACCTCAGGAGAGCAGAAGTGTGTGTTGTGGAAGGGGTGAGAGTGAGGATAGCAAACTGTTTCTGCCACTAATCTTTTAAACTCTGTTTTACCTTAAGCTATGTGCATACAGTCCTTTGATAAAAATAAAAGTGAACTCAAAAATAAATAACATGCTCTTTTCATTTGGATTGGAAGCACTATTAATTATAAAAGAAAAAGCAGTATCTTTTTAAGAAAAAAAAGTTACAATGGTACAATGGAATACAGTTTTATCCTTGCTTTATGGGAAAGCCTTCCCTAGTTCTTATAATTCAAAACATAGCTTTTTACTTTTGAAAACAAGAAATAAAAATTCCCAATTGGAACCACCTTAAAGCTAAGAGGACAGTACTTCTGCTGCTGCCTCAATAAACAGTGGTTGACACTCTGCTTTAATAGGTCTTCCCAGAATAGCCACCCTCCCATGCTCACATGCCAAATTGAGGGATCTGAATGGCAGGAATAATACAAAATCTTCTAAATCATTGGGATTGGTGGCCTCCAGATCAGCAGGACAAACCAATCCCATCCTGAAGGAATAATGCATTTTTCTTTCTAACCAATTCTAATTTTGCTCTAATTTGAGAGTTCTAAAAAACTCACAGGTAATCTCAAATGGTTTTAGCTTCCTATATTGGGTGTCCCACAAGCACAGGTCACTTCACATGTGTCCCCTTGGGTGCTGAAATTCCAGGTGAAGATGAGCACCCCTACTCTGAAGTAAGGAAATATCTGAACAGTGGTTCAGAGGAAGAGAGGTGATGCAGGAAGAAGTCCTCTGGAGTGAGAAACAGAGTTGTCAGATATCCATGGAAGAGATGTGGAAGGGTGAAGACACTCTTGATTAAAGAGCATGTGAGGGAAATGGTGAAGTAATCTGAAAAGAGAGAAAATATTTAATAAGGTACCACAAGTTGGCAAAACAGAGCTGTGAGCCACTACTAAGGGGGAAATAGACCACAGTACAAAATCAATCAAAAAGAACAGCACATTTGAGTCACAGACTGTGGGTGTGGACTGGAGTGAATCATAGGCACGCTGGCAGTGGCATCACTAAGACTGGTATCACTCAATGCCGTAATTCATGGTGTCACCTCCCCCAACCCATGGACAGGCCAGCCTGCAAACCCTCCCACCCCCATGGGTGGAGTGGCTTGGCTTGGCCATGACCCCTAATGTCAAACCATGTATCCCACCTCTCCCGGCCCTACCCCTTGCAGCTCTCTGCTGCTCCTCTCCTTTCCCATTGGCCAAGGCAAAGACCATCCTCTCTGGGCCAGCACCATGGGACACCTGTCTACACCCTGACTGATGGATGACAGATGAATGGGGGGGGGTGATGAGTTACTGCACTGAGTGACAGGTGACACTAACCCTAGTGATATCACTATCTTGGACACCTGTAGCACTGGCCTGCCAGCCACTGCAGACCCTGGGGTCATATTGGTGTTATATTCTCTAGCAGTGTCAGAGGGTACAGTCTACACACCCCTAGTGAAACCACTGCACCATGGTTCTCCAGGCCAGGGAGCTGGGAACAGGGTAACTTTAATGGCCGTGTGTTCATCTTGTTCAAGGTTTTCCCTCAGATACGTCTCACTCTTTCTGGTAATCTATCTCCTAGACCTCTCTGGCTGGGACAGGGCTTCCTACACTGTGGAGGCACTGGCTGTGGAGCCCCAAAACCGACTGCAGCTGTGCAGGACACAGATCCTGTAAGCTCCCACCCTGAGCCAGTCAATCAGGAACAACACTCACTTTGTTTTCTCTGCCGCCTTCCCTCTCCCCCCTTTCCTTCCTTCATTTCCTTCTTCTTTAATAATGTTTTATTTCTTTAATAATGTTTATTTTGGGTGAGGTATCTGACTAAATATTCAGTCAATTTAGCTCTATTTTATGAGAACAGAATCTGACAAGAGTCTATGACTCATTTAAGTAACACACCATCACACATACCAGTGGAATGCACTCTGTGTACAAGGCAAGCAAGCTCTCTGAATGTGTTTAATTTAATAGTATGTCTTGAAGGAAGAGACCAAGAGGCAGACCATGACCTCAAGTTCAAGGTGAAGGTCTCTGACAAATATAAGCAACAGTGAGCAATAAGCAAGCAGTTATTTAAGACGCCTGAAGCCACAGAGCCTTCATTTGCTGACTGGTGGGGATGAGAGCACTCACACATGCTGAAGAAAGCAAGCAGGCCAGGGAGAGGTAGCAGTGCAGGTAGCACAGGCGTCAGCTAGATGTAGTGTCTCCAGTCAGAAGTGGAAGGATTCACTTTAAGCCAGTTTCCTTTCTTGTAGAGTATGAAGATGACTATGGGACAACTAAGTGTCTGATGGTTCGGCCACAGGTGGGAAAGGACAACAAAAGAATGTGTGTGAAGCTCTAGGTAATGCTACAAAGGACTTTATCACTAGACACAAACTGGAGCAATAATGAGGCCAAACAAGGGTTTATAGCAAAGGAAGATATGGGCCAGCTTTATCCTCACTGCAGCATTGCTCCGAGGACACATATTCTTTATATGAACACGTGCAAATCTTCAAACTTTACCCCAAATGAGAGAATCCTCCCATTATCTGGCCCTACTAATGAAAGCCTCTTTGCCAACTATGCACACATTTTGAGGATTATTTACGCAACCAAATACTGACAACAGTGTGCAGAAATAACTGAACTGTATTCATGAGACACCAGATAACAAATGTCCAAATTTCCCTTGAAAATTAATACTGCTATGAAAGTAGGAAGTGAATAGAAGGAAGAGAAGCCTAGTGATGATTCTTTTCACTACTGAGGAGGAGCAGCAAAGCCACTAAGGAGCACAGAACTAGAGATTAACATGCAATTTCATCTTTTAAGCGTCTTCCCACACACCATGCACACAGTGAAGAGAATGCTGAAATCTATACCGGTTCCTGAGTGCTGCTGTTATCACCATTCATCACAAGGGACAGATGCAGGGCCCATTAGCTTACAGCGCCTTCAGAATTTTGAATTATCCACTCAATTGCAGCCCACCCCTGGAGTGACACAGAAAAGGTTTCAATATGGTGTAAGAAAGTCTGCCCCTCTCACTCTAGAGTATGAACTGTGCCTATCATTTGAACTGCAGAATGAAAGTACTGAGGTATTAGAAGAGACATTGTGGAAGTCTCTCTGCAATAATCTTTCACTAAAGCAGGCAGTTCCTCAGGCTTAGCACTGACATGGCCTGTATTCAATGCCTAAAATCTTCTGTGTCAGCAAACAAAACATCTTCTTATTGTACTGTAGCAAGTCTCCCTTTGTAGTTGGAGAATGAGGCAGAAGCAGCAGCCTCCTTCCAGCTTCCTCAGTGAGTCTCATTAGAGGCCCAAGAGTATACTCCCTAACCTCAGGATCTTGAAATTCTAGCTCTGAGGCCAAGAAAACCACAGGAAGGCCTTCAAAGTGGATTCCACAGACTTCTTTGAGATTCAAAGATGCTTCAGTAACCTCTTCAAGGAAAGGGGGGTGAGTGACCTCCAGGACTCCCCAACACACACATACCCTGTTTTAAGCAGAGCACATCTGTCTTTTTGTCACAGGATGACCCTTCTGTTTCCAACACTTGCAACCACTCTTAGGCCACCAGCTATTACCAGGTATGAGAATTATCTCTAAAATGGTAACTGAAACTACAAAGATTATTCCATTTGCTTGCTAGAGGGAGGTAATGATTCTCCATCAAGACTTCAACACAGCAACCTCTAAGATAAAGTGAAATAAAATACAGTGAATTTGGGCTTGCTGAGTTTACTCTGACTTTCTCATAAAAGGTCTGAGCTGGTTTTGGCCTGAGTATTCCCTTCGTCCTACAAATTGAAACATAATTTTTATTTCAACAAACATTTTTGGTGCCTACTGTAAGCCAGACACTGGAAATACAAAGTAAGGTCTGTCTCACCCTACACAGGCTCAAAGGGCTGACAAAGCTCAATGACATTGCACCTTTCATTGCTTTGCAGCTCTGATGCCTGTGGTCTCTCTAACTTCCTTGAACTAAGCTAAGTTCTGCCTAAATCTGGATTTTTCTGAAAAAAAATAGGACAGACTGACCCTTCTACAAATGACTAGACTAAGGCAAGTCATTAGTGGTCTTCCACTAATTTGAAATTAAATATAGAATAAAGATCAGTACATTCTTCCACTGATCCTGAAAATGAAGATCCACATCTGACCAAAACAAAAAAACAAATCAGGAGACATTGTTAGGGGAAGAGTTGGGAATGGTGGGCTAGGGGGAGGTAATGTAGGATAAAGTAAAAAGGCCCTGTTCTGCTGAGTGACATTGTCTTGACTTTGTACATCTTCCTTCCAGAGCATTCACACTCTTTAGAGCATCACCTCAGAGTAGGAGAAGGGCTCCCTGAACAGTCCCTGCCTCTCCAAGGCTGTGCCCACTACCCATGACGACTGTAGGAGAAAAGGAAAACCACAGATGGCTTTGTGCAAGCCATCCTTCCCCCTCCACCCCCACAAAGCTCACTCCCAAATCCTGCCAAAGTAGAGACAGAAGACAGCAGCTATCTCCAGGGAAACATTACAAATGGAGTGGATTCAGCCAAAGTCACTTAATGCCTATCCCAAAAACCAAAAAACCAAACGCATGCCATTGAGTCAGATCCGACTCATAGTGCCTTGAGTTTCCAAGGCAGTATCTCTCCTGAAGTAGATTGCCCAACCCTCCTTCCGAGGAGTGGCTGGTGGGTTTGAACCATTAGCCTTCTGGTTAGCAGTCAAATGCCTTAGGCAATGCCTATCCCACTAAATATGAAATTATTAAAAATCAAGACAATTCCTTTACAATGTTAACCTACTATTAGCTTTTTGATTTTAGGGTTTGTGTGTTTGTTTTGTTGAGTCTATGATATTTCAGGTCTTTGAAGTGGTAGTTGTTCCATATTTCTAATATTTTCCTTACTAAAGGAGCCCTGGAAGCTCAGTGGTTAAAGAGTTTGGCCGCTAAGTGGAAGTCCTGAAGTTTGAACCCACCAGCTGCCCCATGGAAAAAAGATGTGGCAGCCTGTTTCCATAAAAATTTATAACTTTGGAAACTGGATAGGGCAACTATGAGTCAGAATTGGGCAGTTGGTTTAGTTTTCTTTTCCCCTACTAAGAATAATAGCATGGTTGCTCTCTAGGCTTCCAGACACACTTTTCCCTCAGACGTGGGCTAGTTTTTCCTTGCTGCTGGTTTTGGATGTAACTGTAGAGAATGTGGTAGCATTAAGAACTCAGCTAGAAAAGGAGAGCCCAGCACTTAGGATTTCTGGGACTAAGAATTTCACCCATTTTATCTGGTACATAACAACTAGAGCACACAGAGGCTCCTGGAACAAGATACATACCTTCTTCGCATTGGATGATATTGTATTGGCCATTAAACTTTCTAAATAGCTGCGCAGGCTAATGCCCTTCACTGTGATGATGGCCTCTTGGGTGAGTACAGTCCTGAAGAAGAAAGAGAAAAAATAGATGCTGATAGGCCCTTGCCCTCAGATTTCAGAGTGTCAAACCAAGAGGCAATGACTTACATTTCAGGGTTCTCCGGATGAGGCATGTACACCAATCTTTCATCAACCGAAACCAAATTTGTGAGTGTGATCTTGAAAAAACAGAAACAATGGCTTTAGTTCCTCCTATTTCTCTTATAATTCTTCCCAAGTCATTTATTTACCCATAGCTTTCATCACAAAATTAGGACTTATTGGAGGGGGGGAAAAAAAAAAAAAACCACCAAACTCACTGCCATCGAGTTGTTTACAACTCATAGCAACCCCTCCTTGAGTTCGTGAGGTGGTATCTCTACAGAAGTAGATTGCCCAATCTTCCATCTGAGGAGTGGCTGGTGAGTTTGAACCACCAGACTTCTGGTTAGCATTCAAATGTCTTAGGCACTACACCATCAGAGCTCCCTATGAGCCAGAACAGAAGAAATATTTAGGTTTAGGAGATACTATGGCACAAAGTCCAGATGATCCTTTTTGCTATTGTCATCTATTGTCTTATTTATCTAGTGCTGCTGTAACAGAAATAACCCAGTGGGTGGCTTTAATGGATGGAAATTTATTTTCACAGTTTAGGAGGCTAGAAGTTCGAATTCAGGGTGCTGGCTCTAGGGGAAGTCTTCCTCTCTCTGTCGGCTCTGGAGGAAGGTTCCCACCTCTTCAGTTTCTGTTCCTCAGTTCCTTGGAAATTTCCATGTGGCTTGGTATTTATCTTCCCTCATCTCTGCCTGCATGCTTTCTGTTTACCTAATCTGCTCTTTTTTATCTCAAGAGATTAATTTAAGATACACTCTACAATAATACTGCCTCATTAACATAACAAAGAAAAACCATTCTCAAGTGGAATTATAACCACTATACCAAACCCAAATCAAACCCACTGCCATCAAGTCCATTCCAACTCATAGTGACCCTACAGGACAGAGTAAAACTGCCCCCATAGGGTTTCCAAGGCTGTAAACAGAAGCTGACTATCTCATCTTTCTCCCGCAGAGTGGCTAGTGTGTTCAAACCACCAACCTTTTGGTTAGCAGCCAAATGCACTAACCACTACACCACCAGAGTTCCTTATAACTTTATAATCCTTAGGATTTACAACACATACTTTACAGGGACACAATTGGATCCATAACAGCTACCTTCTCTCCAACCCTAATCCAAAAATATGAGGAAGTCTCTGACCTGCAATGTTCTCTCAAATTGCCTATGCCATTGGCAGTTGTAGAAAATGAGAAAATGTCCTCAGTATCTAAGTAAATGAGCAAGAAGCTTTCACTCACCCATACCAGTCCCCAGTTTGGAGAGTCGCCTAAGAGTTCAAGCGATAGAACCCTGAGTCTACACACAGACTGGGAATGCAATGTCTATGGCCATATCACCCTGAACATGTCTGATCTCATCAGACTGGGAGAGCAAGAGTATGCATTTCTTATCTCTTCAAGTACTGCTTGAAGTCCTCCATTTACAGTATTTCCTATTAAAATCCATTTAAAAGCTCTAGAACAGCACTGTCCAACAGAGTTTTCTGTGACAATAGAAATGTTCTAGATCTGTATTTCCCAATGTGGTAGTCAGTAAACATATGTGGCTAATAAGCTCTTGAAATGTGGCTAGTTGGGAACACTTTTCCACATGTGGTTTGGTGCTACCTGATTCAGGAATCTTCTGCCCGAATAATAGTCAACTACTACTTAATTTAAAAAAAAGAAAAAGAAAAGAAGAAGAAATGTGGCCAGTATGACTGTGGAATGAAATCTATTTTATTTAACTTTAACTAAGTTAAATGGGAGCTCTGGTAGCATAGTGGCTAAGACACTTGCCTGCTAACCAGACGGCTGGCGGTTCAAACCCACCAGCCACTCCTCAGAAGGAAGGTTGGGCAATCCTACTTCCGTAGTGATACTGCCTCGGAAACCCAAGGAGGGGTCGCTATGAGTCGGGTTTGACTCGACGGCACATAACAACAACAACAACAACAAGTTTAAATAATCACTTGTGGCTGGTGGCTACCACATTCAACAACGGAGTTGTAGAATTTCATTGTTGTCCAACCCAATTAGTCTGCTTCTCAAGAGCCAATTCCAATAGAAGACTATCTTTAAAATTAAATAAATAAATAAATATTCAAAAGCGATATAACAAATACTTAACGGTGACCATATTTAATGCCACTGAACTATACATGTAAAACTACTGAAATGACAAATGTTTTGTTAACTATATACACCAAAAAAAAAAAAGTTTCTTAAAAATCAAAAAATGCAACCTTCCACCACTGATAAAACACTTATTTTTCACTTATGTAATAGTCTGCACTGAAATCTTCTCCCTGTCCTCTCAGAGATGAGGAAAGTGATTAGCCCTGATAATGCAATGGTTAAGCACTGATCTGGCTAACCAAAAGGCTAGTAGGGTGAACCCATGCAGTGGCTCTGAGGAAGAAAAAACCCAGTGATCCTTAAAGACAGGAAACCCTATGGGGCAGTTCTATCACCTGGGTAGAGGACAGATGAGTGAGGAGACCAATAGCACAAAGACAAAGGAGAGGCTATTGCTATAGGCTGGGCAGGTGTTTTTCAAAGTGAATTTAATGGTCTTCTTAGAGGTTCAAAGATGTTTCAGTGACCCCTTCAAAGAAAGGAGGGTAAGTAACCTTAAGGACTCATCCCTGCCCTTTTTCACCCAGAGCAGGTCTCTAGTTGTTTTAAACAACGGGCTTCCTCTGCTGGAAGTTAAGAACACTGGTCCTCCTGGGAGGAGGGGTGACTAAAAGCAAGCACAGGGGGGCTCTTATGGTGCTGGTCATGTTCCAGCTTTTGATCTGCCTCCTGGTTACAATGGTGCGATCAGCTTGTGACAATTCATCATTATGTGCATTTTTCTGTATCTTTATTATACTTGAATAAAAGGTAAATAAAATACTGCTAAATAGCCTTTCTATTATACATAAAAGATCATTTAGACCAAAGGTGGACTGGAAATAAAAGTAAATGAAGCCATTACGCACCATCACCAAGAAATATTAAGCACCTTTCTCGTCTTAGGTCATTGCTTACATTGCTGGAACAAAGTTCCATTTTCTTTTCCACTGGATCCACAACAGAATGTTCTCTGATGTATGTCAAAGTCCTACTGGTTCCCAAAACCTAAAAAACAAAGCAAAACTAGCATAGTGATATGTCAATAATTTCATTTCATACCAAACAAGAAATACTATTTAATTTACTTATTTATTTATCCAATGAATAATGCAACTGGGGATACAGCAATATATAAAACAGGCAAAATCTTTGTCTTCAAGTTACTTGCATCCTAGTGGGTGAGACAGACATTAAACAAATAAATGAATTCAAGTCTACCTGAGTGTTAAGACCATAGTAAGTGCTCTGATAAACAATTAAGCTGGGTAAAGGGTTTGGGGTGAAGAAGAGTACTATTTTAGATAGGCAATCAAGGATGCTCCCTCTGCCAAGGGGACATTTGAGAGAAGTTCTGGGGGACAGCATGTCAGGTGAGAGAACATCAGACCCAAGGCCCTGAAGCAGAAGCCCACCTGTTGTGTTCATGGAATAGCAAGACAGCCAATGCAGTAAACAAAAAGCAAAACAACCCCAAACTCACTGCCATTGAGTCAATTCCAACTCACAGCCACCCCCTTTGGGTTTTCAAGGTGGTAAATCTTTATGGAGGTAGATTACCCAGTCTTCCTTCTGCAGAGTGGCTGGTGGGTTTGAACTGCCAACCTTCTACTTATCAGTTAAATACCTTAGGCGCTACGCCATCAGAGCTCCTTAGCCAATGCAGTAGAGGAAGGAAAACTGGGTAGATACTTTAGACAAGGGCAAGACCACTTGTGGGAGAGTGGACTTTGGACTCAAGTTGAGAGGAAGTCAATAGTATGTTCTATGTAAGGGGAAGTCATCGGCAGATTTACATTTAAAAACAAGCTCTCTGGCAGTTCAGTGGAGTAAGGCAGAAGGGATTTTGATGGTGGCTTGGGCTAGGGTTGAGGGTAAAATGTGGGGCAAAACATAGTTGGATTTGAGATATATTTTGAAGCCAACATATGGATAACTAAATGAATTTTACAGAAAAACACATAATCTCTTGAGTTTCGTAGAAATCGTGACTAGAAGCTATAGACAAAAGTTATTTCCTACAGATAGACAGTAGCAGAGTGTGTGGGGCTCACCGCTTTCACAAGAGTAGGCAGCCCCCACTCAGTACTGAGCAGGCGGTGGCTATGAAGCCGGCCGTAGCCATCCACAGTCCGCTCCAAGACATCCACTCCCACAACACAGGGATTCATTGGGTTTGGGTACTTCCTCATGGCAGCCTTGATGACAGTGTCCCATGGGTGGCTGGTAGGAAAAATTCAACGAGCCAGCATAAACAAGCATCCTTGAAATCTGTAAAGTATCACACTGTGTGGGAGCCAAAGATGCCTGGGATCCTGGAGTGCAATAAAAATTCACATCAATGCTTTTATTAAAAGGCTTTTGTTTTAGTTTTAATTGAAGGTATATTAAATCAAACATATATGTGGAGTCTAGTTGTAGGCCAAAGTCCTATCCATGATCCTCATGCCCAACCAAAGGCAATTAGAAGGTTTTGCCTGGTAGGCCTCATGGGGAAGCTGACCTCCCCACACAGGACTGACATGGTATCCAGTGCATGGCAGTCTCTGGAGGGAGCTGCAGTCAAGGACTCAGTCCTACCCCTGCCCTGCCAACCATGCTTATCTGCATTCCTAGCCCAGGTACATTTACTGGGGGCCTCAGCTGAGATACTTTTCTCCACTTTGACTTAGTACTTTTCCACTCCTACCTTCCCCTTCCCTCCACACCCATCAGTCCATAAAGAAGCAGGACCCTTTTATTTGGAGCTCCTTGGCAGTAAGATGATTCCCTCCTCTATGCTGAATCTATCTGACCCTCACCTGGTGCCATTCTATAGGGAAAACGGAACACTAGGGAGCCAGCCCCTTTCTCTTTTGCCTCTTGCCCACACTGTTGCAGTAAGTGAATAAAGACTTAGTTGTTAGTTTCAGTTCGGCTGATTGTCCTAAATGACCAATTCAACACTTGGCAGCTTGACCAATTGGCGCAGTGAGCAGGGCAGTCAATTGAGCACAGTGCTGTTCCGGAATAGCAGAAAGCACTTTGCCAGTGGGTCTTGGGGAGTGCTAACACTTTTTGTTTACAGAAACTTTTTGGTTCCAAGGGGGTGCCAGTGGCCCTTCTCTTTAGTCAAACTCCCTGGCTGAGTTCATCCAGTGGCTCAGCTTAGAGATCCAAGGAAGGAGTTCTAAGAAAACTAGGGAAGCAGTCCCTTAGCCTCTGCCCAAGGTCCTCCAAAGATGGGACCAGAGACAGACAGAGGCCTAATGAGCAGAGTGCACTCAATAACTGCTGTTAACTCTAAGATGGTCCCTAACACTGATAAATGCCCTGTAGTATAGTGAATTTTTTAAACTTCAGTGAAAAAAGGCCCCCTTTGGGATCGCTTTGCCCAGTGGTTTGAAGAGATCTTAGAAACTTGGTTAGTTTGCCTCCATGAGAATCTTATTAAACTAACTGAGGAAGAGTAGCACCAAGTGGGGTATATTACTACAGACCTCTTTCTTCAGAGTGTCCTGACAGCAGCCACTGCCAAGATAGTGTCAGTGGCAAAGCACAAGCAACAGTGTCAGTGGCAGGTAGGTGATGTAGCTTCCACACTGATTGGTGGCTGGACACCTGCATTCACTCAGCCCCCATGGCATAGCAGTGGCAGCTCCTCCACGGCTCTTGGAGCCTGCTTCAATGACTGACCAACAGAGAAAGACTGGCATAAGGGTTGTAACTGCCACTCCCCACCCCTATATGCCATCATTGTGTCATGCAGTGCTAGGCACAGGGAGGGTTTTCCTACCACCAGATGCAGTCTTCTGGGTGCTTCTGGGTGCTGCCACCCCCACGAAGTCTGAGATCCAAACTGGCCTGGCCTGTCCTACATTGAGGAATTCCAGTTGAGAAATGGCTGCCCATCCTGGGCCTACTACTGCATCTGGCTTCCCCATCCATGCCTCCAGGAAACTGTGGCCAAATACCAGGCAGGGGGACTCAGTGAGCAGCCTCATTAGTGTCTACATGGTAATGGCCCCCCTGTGACTGACAAAAGTACCATTGTTTCCACCCAGGGATCATTCAGAGAGCCTTGCCAATTTCTACTTGGACCACTGGGCTTTGAAAAATGAACAACACTATGGATTAAGCTGAGGTCTCTGTGCCTAGGAGAGACCAGAGGTCCTATACCAAGGTCAAGGTTCAATGGGGAGGTGTAGGAGAACTGTATTTCTTGAACCTTTTGGATACTTGTGCACAACTAACTGTAATCCTTGCAACCCCTGGCACCAGGATTAGGGAGAAACAGGTAACACTCTCTGATTTTGGGTCTGAAGCCAATATCATGACCCTTGTCCAGGCCCAGTTAGGGTGAGTCCCTTCAGGTCCCTACAAGCCCCCATTGATATGGCCCCCAGTACTGAATGTATTTTTGGTATAGACATTTTCCCTGTGCTCATTGCTTGCCTTCTCCCCTAAGCCCTGACAGTAATTGCTGTATTAGGGCCATCCTAGTGAGGCATGTGGAAGATGATGAAGCCCCCATACTTCCAATACCTAGTACTGTTGCTTCATAAAAACAACATTAGCTGCTAGCAGAGAAAAAGAAATAACATCTCTCACTGCCAAGTTTAAGGAAGCCAGAGTGCTCCAAGAGACTATTTCTCCATTCAAAGCCCTGTCTGGCTGTGCACAAGGCCTTGGAGGACTGGAGACAAACCATTGATTACAGATGGCCCAATACTATAGTGCCACCCTTGACACCAACAGTGCCTGACACTGTAACTATTATTACAGGGGCTACTGACCAACCTGAGGAAAATTAGTGTGCAATAACTGACATTATTAATGCCTTTTTCAGCATCCCTAACCAACCAGATAATCAGAATCAGTGTGCTTTCACGTGAAATGGGCTACAAAAAAAATAAAACCAAACCCATTACTGTCAAATAGCTTCTGATTCATGGCAATCCCCATGAATCACAGAGTAGAACTGCTGCACAGGTCATTCTTGGCTGTAATCTCTACAGAAGCAGGCTGCCAGGCCTTTCTTCCATGATGTAACTAGGTAGATTAAAACTGCCAAACTTTAGGTTAGTAGTTGAGTACAAATCATCTTACCACACAGGGATTTGAGTTGTATAAAGAGCAGATTAGACACAGAAGCAAGGACAAAGGGGGAAGAGAGACAGATGCCACCTGAAGATTCCCAAGGAAACAAAGAAGGAAGAGCTACAGAAAATGAGATAAAGATCTTCCTCCAGATCTGAAAGAGAGAGCCTTCCCCTTGAGTAAGTCCCCTGAATTGAGATTTATATAGCCTCCTGAACTATGAAAAAATAAATTTCTGCTCTTTAAAACTATTCCCTTGCATTATTTCTATTACAGCAGCACTAAAATACCCTGGCTCTCTGCCATCAATGGGTAGGCTATGATCTGGAAAACGTCCTGTTCCCAGAGGAAGTACTAGCCTTCTACTATGTTGATGATGTCCTCTTGGAGAGCCCAAAGACATTACCCAACAAGGACTAGATGCCCTGATGACTCACATGCATCAACATAGCTGGACCATGAGGACAAACAAAGTAATGAGACTTAGTACCCAAGAGTGTTAGACTGGGTTCTCTAGAGAAACAAAAACCAGTAAAGCTTATATATATATGTTATATATAGAGAAATTTATCTTAGGAAAATGGCTCACACACTTATAGAAGCTGGCAAGTCCCAAGTTCATGGATCAAATGTCAAGCTGGAGGCTTTTCTTGGCTCTTGCAACCATAGGGGCTGAGGAGCTCAAGGCTGGCAGGCAGTACACCAGCTGTTGACTCCAACGAATGATGAATCCAAGATCTCTAGGCCAAATGGTGGACTGTTCACTCACAGACAGTTGTAGGTAGCACAACAGAATCCCGATCCACAGAAGAATGTTTCTCTTCTCAGGATGTCCTTGGATATACTGAAGCAGGCCACAACCCTAGGGAAACTCCCTTTCAACAGATTGGCCACTCAGAACATAGTCATCTGATCCCATCATGGGAGTAACCAACCACAACAGCTCAAACCACACAGAATTGTGGTCCAGCCAAGTTGACACACAGCTCCAACTATCACACCAAGTGAAATTCCTGAGCATAATCTGGGAAGGGTCACAATGTTTCATTCCAAAGGAGACAAGTGCTGAGCTTTTGGTCCTCTGTCCTGACAAAAATGAGGCCCAACAATTAGGGGAAATATTCAACTACGAATGTTCTCACATACCACATTTAGGGATCTTCATGGCACCCATATACCAAAAAGGCTGCTACCTTTGAGTGGGGCCCTCACCAACAGAGCACCAAGGCCATCTGTCTCCTAGCCTCCAACCAATCCACGTTTGATGTTTGAGTTATAGGTCTCAATAACCTCTCAGTTCACTTTTTGGAGCCTATGACAGAAAAATAACACCCAAATGCCAGTGGCACCTGTTAAGCTTCTAGATCTGTAAGCTCCCAGAGTTGGCTAAAAGGTACACACCTTTTAAGAGACAATTATAGAAATGCTGTATGGAAAGTGAATTTGCTCTGTAAATTTTCACCCAAATCATAATGGAAAGAAAAAAAAAAAAAAAAAGAGAGAGAGAGAAAATTTTAGGCCTGTTATTGGGCATTGGTAGATACTGCATGCAAGAACCATGGTGATGAAATAGTCTTACCAACAGAAACCCATCATGTCATGAGTCTGAGCAGAGGCCTCATATCTCCAGATGAGAATAGTTCAGCAATCTTCTCTTTAAAAAACAAAACAAACTGTTGCCTTCAAGTTGATTCTGACTCTACTGAAACAGAAATGGTGTATACAGGGGTGGGCAAAACTCAGTGGAGCTTCTCTCCTAACTTCATGAGAAGGTCTCAGGAGTTTCAGTTCACTGACACAAGGCTCAGCACAAGCAACTCCATTTCGAGCTGAGTTTAGTCAGACTAACACAGCTATATTAGAGAGAAGAGATGAAGACAAAAAGTTCCTCTTGAAGGAAGTACAAATGGGGGAAGACTGGTGCCACATGGAGATCACCATGGAGCTGAGGAAGAGAGGCTGAAAGAGACAAGGACCTTCCCTCAGAGCTGGTGCCCTGAATTCAGACTTAAAGCCTCCCAAACCATGAGAAAATAAATTTCTGTTTATTAAAGCCAAAAGAAAAGCAAAGGTCTCAGGAGTGCTGGTCTGCCAACCAGGCTTATTGCCAAACAGCTGCTGCCTCCACTGGCCCTAC